CAATTTTCGCATAGAAAGCCCATATACTCAATAAAAGATCGAACAGAATTCCATTTTCAACGGTTTTGTCGATGAATCTTTTTTCATATATCAAGTCGTTTTATGATTCTTCTTTAATCTTGCTCCCATCATGCATTATAATTATACTGGCAATCCCAATTTTTGTATTAAAATTTTATCAAAAAAAATGGTTATAAACAACATGAAACTTGCCTAGTGTCACCTGATTTCGTTGTAGAACTAGTTGATTATGTGGAATACTTTATCAATTATCAATTATGAAAAAATGCATGGACACAAATTGTCTCATTTAGCTATTGAAAAATAAAGCATAAAAAATGAAGTGGATATTAAGAATTTATTGGGATGAATACAATGTTTACATTATTTAGAATTTAGTTAACATAGATCTTTGGCAAAATCTCTGAAAAGCAAGAATCATTGAGTTTTTGTTTTTCATTTTCATTTGATTGGTAAAATCTTTATTGTTACGTGTTGTCATACTTAGTCAACCTATTTGGGCCTATGGCCCACTCAATTCGAATCATGTGGTGTTCTAGTCGAGGTGGTTTGTATGGCCGAGGCCCTTCATGCCGAGTCTCATATGCCGAGGCCTGTGAAGATAGCCGAAACCCTAAAGCGGAAGTATTACGTGAGTGGCAGAAGCCCCGAATCCGAAGCCAAAGCAGAAGCCTCCGAACCATGAAGGAACGTCTTCCATGATCACTTCTCCCAAGAGATCTTCTACATAAAGATCTTGTTAGAATGATTGATGGAATGTTTGTCATAAGTATACATGTCAAGTCTTGTCATTAGCATGGGGATTCTGCATAAGCAATAAATGCACAGCAAACTAACAAGTCAAGGATGATGCCTAGGATTGGATATTTGAATTAAAGAGATGAGGCCACGTGCCACCTCATCCAATGGCTGCCATTTCACATGTACCACTATAAGTACTTCCCTTGTGTAACATTGAAGAAATATTGCAAAAATCAATACAAGAAACCACACTTTACTCTCTCTTTCATATTGCTTTACAACACAATACGAGTTCATACATATTTACATGCACATTCATGAGCACCGATTGGTAACTATTGTACAATCGAATTACGAACATCCCGCAGAATTCCGAACGTTCTTGTCCTGCGTCGTTAAGCTACTCCCATGCCTCTGATCCGTTCGTTCTAGACCGTCCACGTGTCTTAGCGTGTAGGACCTTCGCTCACGTGTGCGCAGGTGAGTCCGACATCTGTTGGAAATATTTTTTGGGGTCAACAGATTGGCACCATCTGTGGGAAACCATACCATAACCACGAACAGCCTTGTGGTGAAAGCTTATTAAAGAACATTTTGGCATCCCCCTTTAAAAAAAATTTGTTCTTGGAAAAGAACATGAGAAAGCCCCACAACTTAGCAAAATCTGAAGAGTCAAACAAAAAGAAAATGAGTTCAAACGAAGACACATCCCCCAGGAGGATAAGAGAAAACGCAAATGTGCCTCTTCCACTCGCTGCCCCAGCAGCTCGGCAAAGACTCCACCACCATCAAAGAAGAGGTGGAATGCAGGCGACGGCATGGCTGTCAAGAGAAATGGCTGTCATGGCGGCCAACATGAGGGATATTACTAGTCAAAACTTGGCTATGAGGGAGCTCATGGCCCAAATGCAGGGCCAGGGAGGCTTCCCCATTCCTCCATACGCCCCTCAAGGGCACTACCAGCAAGAAGATGAAATTCAAAGTCATAGAGCTGCCTCACCTGACTATAACCGAGGTGGAAGCCCATTTGAAAGGGAAGTGGAAATTGATGTTTCTTCCAACTACGCTTCTGGCCGACCCACTGAGGTCCCATTGAACCATGATAACTTCCCACCTCCGTATGAGCAAGAGTCAAGACATAGGAGGGCAAGCAGTGTATTTGACAGAATTAGCCCCGCTGAACTGAGGCTTAGGCAACAGCAGACTCACGAGCCTTGGACAAGGCCACCGCCTCCACCTCTAATGCCCCTGCAACCAGAAAAAGGCATGAAAATGTCCCCCATGTTGCTCCGCCTAGAAATAGGCGCCAGAGAAGGGAGGAAGAGGCTAGGAATCGTCCCGGAACCTCTCACCACCAACCACGACATGAGGTCGATGAATACGATTCAGATGAGCAGCAGAGGTCCTGTGACTTGAACGACGACGATGAGAATTTGCCGTTCTCAAGGGAACTAAGGAGTGCCAGGTTCCAAGCCACTATGTAATGCCAAAGATACCAAAGTATGACGGAAGAGGCGACCCAGAGAAGCACCTGAATGCTTATAAAACTCACATGAGCCTAAGGGGCGTCACCCCAGTTGTGATGTGCAGAGCTTTCCATTTGAGACTTAGTGGAGCGGCTGAAATTTGGTATAGTAGGTTACCACCTGGGAGCATAAGAAGCTTGTTCTAGTTCAAGACAACATTCTTGAAGAGGTTCGCAGTAAACAAGAAGGAGAAGCCCCCATCCAGCGTCTCCAAGACATGAGACAAGCATATAGGGAGTCTCTAAAGAGCTTCATATCACGCTTCACCGATGAGATGACGTATTGCGTGCAAGTCACCGATCGTGAGGCACTATCCGCACTAAGGGGAGGTCTGAACATGAATACCCTATTCTGGAGGGACGTACAAAATCAAGATCCCACCACCTATGATGCCCTACTCGAGATGATAAGGCGGAAAATCATCAATGAAGAATTGATTGAGCATAGGAACATGGCAAGTAGAGGCCTCCCACCTCCTCAAAGGCAGCGTGCTAGAGGGCCGACCTCCTACCTGATGAACTACCAAATGAACCGGGCTGGAAATGAGAGTTTTGGCCAAACACTTGCCACCACCACTTTGAACACGGTTCCTACTGTGGCATATGAGGATATCAACCCAATTATTGACACCCAGCAGACGAAAATCCTACAAGGATCCCATAGGGGGAGAGGTCGAGGTCGGGGTTTGGGACCTAGAAATAGGTCAAATCAAAACCCACAGGGATACTATGTACACCACCGGTCCTATGGACACGACACAGCGGATTGCCGAGACTATGTGCACTGCTCCTGGCTGGAACCCCCTAGGGACAGAAATGAATCACCCCAGGCTAACAGGCCCCCGTCTAGGCACGACAATCGACGTGGGTGTGAGGAGGCTGCTCCCCGCCAAAGGGATGTTTCCCCACGATGAAGGGAGTGTGATACGAAGAGGCCCAGGGAAGGACGCAGGCACCGAAGAAACCGACAAGCCCAGGATGAGGCCCCTATCCACGAAATAGATACCATATTTGGAGGCCTATATGTTAGCGGTGAGACATGAAACGCCAAAAGGAATTACGCCCGGGAGGCTAAACACCCCCCTTTAGCAAGCTACATTGTGGACAGCAGCTCCCGGAGGAACCAAGTTCCACCCATTATCTTCACCCAGGAGGACACCGAAGGAGTTCACTACCCCCATTGCGATGCACTTGTTGTGAGAGCCGTCATAGCCCGAAATGGGCTCAAGCGAATGTTAGTTGACAACGGTAGCTCTGTCAACATTCTATTCGTATCCGCCTTTGATAAGATGATATTAGATCATCAGTTGACACCCACCATAACTCCTCTGTACGAATTCACTAGAGATAGCACCACTCCAAGGGGAAAGATAACACTTGCGGTGGAGATGGGAGAGTCTCCCCAAACTACGATGAACTTCATGGAGTTCCTCATTGTTGACAGTCGATCGGCCTACCATAGAGTATTAGGTAGGCCAGCCCTAAAAGAATTGGGAGCAGTCACTTCCATCCACCACCTATGCATGAAATTCTCGACGAAAAATGGGGTGGCAACGGTGAGAGGTGATCAAAGGGGATCGAGAGAGTGTTATCTAAACTCTATAAAAAAAGGTAGAGCCCTGGGACGTTACTGGTGATGCTCCCACCGAACAAGAAGATATCGATATGATTGATGTACCACCCAGTCCGGAGATATTGGTCATTGATGAGATTAATCCCCGCATAATTGAACACGAACCTCAAGCATCCCCAGTTAAGGAACTTGAGAGCTTCTCGATAGACCCCCGAGACCATCCAGGGTGCTGAAAGTAGGCAATGGCTTATCCAACATTTTGAAGGAAAAGATTAAGGATTTTCTAAGTAGGAATCTTGATGTCTTTGCTTGGAGGCATGAGGACATGGTAGGCATAGACCCCAAGGTCAGTTGCCACCACTTGAAAGTCGATCCTAAGTTTGCCCCGCACAGACAAAAAAGGAGAGCCCTCAATCCTGAAAGGTACGAAACTCTGAAAGAAGAGGTTTAGAAGCTCATCCAAAACGGCTTCATCAGGGAGGCTACATATCCGAGGTGGGTCTTCAACCCGATTTTAGTGAAAAAACACAACGGCAAGTGGAGGGTATGCATCGACTTCACCAACCTCAACAGAGCTTGTCCAAAAGACAGCTTTCCTCTCTCAAGGATTGACCAACTAGTAGAATCCATGGCTGGGCATGAGTTGTTCAGCTTTATGGACGTATACTCCGGTTACAACCAAATACCCATGCACCTGGCCGATGAGGAGCACACCTCTTTCATCACAGACCGAGGCCTTTATTGTTATAGGATGATTCCCTTGGGGTTGAAAAACGCCGGAGCGACTTACCAAAGGCTCGTCAACAAAATGTTTACAAACCTAATCGGCAAGATAATGGAGGTATACGTGGACGACATGTTGGTGAAAAGTTTGGAGGCTGAGGATCACATAACACACCTCAACAGCACCTTCCAAATCTTGAGAAGATATAGGATGAGGCTCAACCCCCTCAAGTGCACCTTTGGAGTGGCCTCCGGCAAATTCTTAGGATACATGGTCAATCAACGTGGAATTGAAGCCAACCCTGAGAAGATTGAGGCCCTATACAAGATAAGGTCTCCCCAAAAGCCAAAAGAAGTGCAAAGTTTGACTGGACGAGTGGCCGCACTTAGCCGCTTCGTCTCCAAAGCTACAGATAAATGCCTCCCATTTTTAAAGTGCTGAAAGCTGGGAAGAAGTTCCAATGGAATGAGGAATATGAAAAGGCCTTCCAAGGCCTGGAAATGCACCTGGGGCAGGCCCCCCTCCTCTCCAAATCGAAGCTCGATGAGATCCTACAGCTATATCTGGCCATCTCCAATGAGGCCATCAGTTCGATTCTAACCCGAGAAGAGGGAACCACCCAACTTCCTGTTTACTATACAAGTAAAGCACTCCTATCTCCGGAAACCCGTTACCCCGATATGGAGAAGCTCACTTTGGCCTTGATCATGGCCTCCAGGAAATTGAGACCCTACTTCCAAGCTCATACCATTCATGTGTTGACAAACTTTCCCCTAAGGCAAGTGCTCCAAAAGTCCGATGCCTCAGGAAGATTATTGAAGTGGACAGTGGAGCTAAGTGAATTTGACCTCATGTTCAAGGCTAGGACAGCCATCAAGGGTCAAGCCTTAGCTGACTTTGTGGCAGAATTCGCCAATTTACCCAAGGTAGATGAAATCATGGAACCCGTCGAGCCCCCTACGTGGAACTTATTCATTGATGGGTCGACCGGGGATGCCGGCTCAGGTGCTGGAGTTGTCCTCATCAGCCCTGAAGGTCACAAGCTAAACTCAGCGGTGAGGTTCAGGTTCAAACTCACCAACAATGTAGCAGAATATGAGGCACTTCTTGCAGGCCTCAGGCTGGCCAAGGACATGCAAGTAAAGAGGCTACTTATCAACAGTAACTCCCAGCTAGTTGTTAGCCCAGTAAATGGTAACTTCTCAGCCAAGGACAAAACGATGGCTTTCTACTTGAAAATAGTGATGAACCTCATCCCATCCTTTGAAAGGTTTGAACTAACCTAAATCCCTCGCATCGAAAATTCTTATGCGGATGCACTCTCCAAGCTCACTATCAGCAAGGATTCAGAACTACTCATAGTAGTACCTATAAAGCACCTCCTCCTGCCGTCCACCGAGGCCCCCAATGTAATGTGGGTCGCTGGAACTCCTACTTGGATGCAGCCAATTGTAGCATACCTCAAAGATCAGGTACTTTCCACTAACAAGCATGAGGCCTACAAGCTAAGGAGGAGGTTAGCCTACTTCCTTTTCATTGATGATGTTCTCTATAAAAAGAGCTTTTCCTCCCCACTCTTAGGATGTGTTGGGAGAGAAGATGCTACTTACATATTAAGAGAAGTCCATGAGAGCGTGTGCGGCAATCACTTCGGAGGTCTATCTTTGGCACAAAAGATATTGTGGCAAGGGTACTACTGGCCTACCCTGAAAAGGGATGCCCTCGAGTTTGCATGAAAGCGTGACAAATATCAACGATTCTCTTCGGTACAAAGGCAATCGTCGAGGATTTGACTGCGGTCTCAACCCTTGGCCTTTCTTGAAATAGGGTGTGGACCTTATAGGTCCTCTATTGAAAGGTAAATGAGGTGCAATCTTTGCAATTGTGGCCATTGATTACTTTACGAAATGGGTTGAGGCTGAACAACTGGCAAAAATCACAGAAGCAAACACTTCCAAGTTCCTGTGGAAGAATATTATATGCCGGTTCGAGATTCCCTACTCAATCGTCTCAGACAACGGTAGACAATTTCACAACAAGACAGTCAGAGCACTATGGAAAAAACTTGGCATCAAAAAGCATTTCTCCACGCCTCACCACCCATAAGCAAATGGCCAAGTTGAGGCTGTGAACAAAACAATCAAACACGTCTTGAAAAGGAAGCTTGATGTGCCAAAATGGGGCTTAGGTGGACGAGCTACCACAAGTTCTTTGGGCAATTCGAACCACCACGAGGACGCCAACCGGGAAAATACCTTTCCTCATGGCATATGGTACTGAGGCAATGAGCCCCGTTGAGGTCGGATTTCCGTCTCCAAGACGTCTGTATTTTAGTGAAATAACAAACGATGAGCTTCGGAGGTGTGATCTCGGCTTCATCGAAGAGAGAAGAGATAATTCCCAGCTGCAGCTCACCATATACCAAAGAAAGATGACAAAGTACTTTAACTCAAAGGTAAAGAAGAGATCATTCCGAGTCAACGACTTGGTCCTTAGGAGAGTCTTCCTCTCCCTAAAGGAACCTGGTTCTGGTTCCCTAGGTCCGAACTGGGAAGGGCCATATAAAATCAGAGAAGAAATTTGGCTTGGGACTTACTGGATTGAAGACATGGACGGCAAGGCCCAGCCCCATCCATGGAACATCGAGCACCTCAGAATTTGTTACCAACGAATGTACTACCTCGCTGGACAATCTTTCCCAACTCTTGTAACATTTCTATGGTTCAATAAAATTCTATGATTAAATTAACGTGTCGCATTACTTCCTCACCTCGGAGGAGAGGCAAGCGCCCCATCTCTGGGCCACCTCGCTTGAACTCCGAGGCGCATGTACATGCCTCCCTTCGACGAGGCTAAACGCCAAGGGGAGAAGCCTCAACATGGCTGCACCATCCACCATGTTGGGAAGCGTCGTCATCTCGGAGGAAAGGCCAGTGTCCCATCTTTGGGCCACCTCGCTTGAACTCTGAGGCATATGCACTAGCCTCCCTTTGACGAAGTTGAACGCTAAAGGGAGAAGCCTCAACATGGTTGCACCATCCACCATATTGGGAAGTATCGTCACCTCGGAGTAGAGGCCAGTGTCCCATCTCTGGGTCACCCTCGCTTGAATTTCGAGGCGCATGCACATACCTCTCTTTTCCGAAGCCTCAACATGGCTGCACCATCCGCCATATTGGGAAGAGAGGCCATCGTCCATCTCTGGGCCACCTCGCCTGAACTCCGAGGCTCATACACTTGAATCAGAATAATATTCCCAGTTCGGCTGCAATGATTTATTCTTAATATCTCTTCAGGTTACAGTTATTAAGCTTAAGTATAATTCATTTGCTTAAGTCCAATATTGGTCATAACTCGTGAGGCTTGCATACAATTCATCTGTTCAAGTGATTGGAGTTAAGATATCTAGTTAAAGTTATTTAATCCTTCAGTCAACATTATGTTCAATTACTTGACGAGGCCAACACACTTAAGAGAAAGAAACAACATTGAATGAAAAAGAGATTATATTGATTTTCAACTGATATTACAAAAAGGGGGCCTGAGGCCAGTACATCATGCATAACTAAAAAGAAAACTATCCTAAACCTGGGAAGATGATGGAGGTGCCTCAGCAGCTAGGACTTCCACAGCTTGAGCATTAGAATCTGCTTTTTCTACCTCTGCTACTTCATCTCCCACCACTTCATCAGCTGGGGTTTGAGGCACTTCGTCCACAAACTCCGACCTGAGTTGCAACAGATCCTAATTGGGATACAACTCCTCAGCCCGCTCCATCACTTTAGCATAAGCAAAATTCTTCCAGTAAGTGCTGAAGCTCTGGTACTCTACGGTATTGTGGAAGTTGGCGATGTAGTCTTTCACTGCTTCCTCCCTTGCATTTTGGGCTTCCTCCCTACCGTGGGTTGCGTCATCGACGTACCACTTAATTTGGCCCTCGATATACTTGTATGAATCTTGGGCCCCTGCCAGCTCCCTCTTAGCATTCTCCAAGGCTTCGACTGTTACCTTATGGTGGTCATTGGAAACCTCCACCTTCTTAGTCAAGGAGGCAACCTCAGACTGGGACTCATGTACCTCCTTCTTCAATGCCTCTATCTGAGCTAAGGCAGACTCCAGCTTGGCCGATTCTTCAAGTTTTTGGGCCCTAGCTTCTTCACCTTGGCCCTAGCTACCTTCAGCTCCTCTGCAAGGAAGGCAGCCTTCCTCTCAGAGGACTGGGTCCTCGTCTGAAAGTCAATGAGGGCTTCCCTGCACTCCAGTGCGAGGCCAAAGGTCCTAAGACTTTGGCTCACAAGAGCCTTCGTCAAGTCCGTGGCATCGTGGGCGGATGCGTTCAACTGCCATCGATTTATCCAGAATTTATAAAACTTTCAGTAACGCTTTGGATCTCAGGTGACAGGGCCTCCACCAAAACTGGGGCCAGAGGCTCCTCCCTGTCGGCAAGGAAGCTCAGAGACTTCCCTTGTACTCGAGTAGGCTTCTATTTTGCAGCCTCCTCCCTCGCCTCTTCAGCCTCAACACGCCTAACCATTTCAATTTTAATCGCTTTCAAGGCGGCTTCCAGTAGCTTCGGCTGCCCGGCTTCTTTGCCTTAGGACATAGAACTCCCGAATTTGCCAGACGAGCTGGAGACGTGCACCAGCTTCATCTTCTTAGGCTCCTCAGAGACTTTTTCCTTGCCCCGAGGCTCCTTGGACTTTTCTGGCCTCTGGAGGGTCCCCTCTTCGGAAGCTCGCGATATGCTATCCTTGGAGAGACGCTCCACTCTGCCTTAGACCTCCTTAGCGCCAGTTGACCCCGGCTTTAGGGGCCTCGCCTTCACAGTAGAGGTTTCCTTAAGTATGGATGCCATGTCAGGAGCTGGGTACTCCTTCTCTTAAACTTGTTTGCAGAACACAGCTTGTTAGTATCAAAATGAAAACACAAAAATATATAAGTATGGGAGCTTCATACCATTGGAGGCCATTAGCTCAAAGTCGAGGAAATAACGACTTCTGTCGATGAGGTGGTCGAAGTGGCAAAGCTTCAGAGGTCTCTTGTAAATGTCCTCTATCACCTCAAACTCCACCCTGCTCAGCTCGAACCTCGTACTACTATCTGCAAAGGACGCTTCAACAGTTAGAAAAATAAAAATTTTAATACAGATTACAAACTTGGGCTGGGAGACTCACGATCTTCGTAGTACTGGGTCGGTACTGTGCAAGCCAGGGCTTTGTCCCCCTTCACTGCCTGCCACTTACCTCGCACACAGACTCCTTCCACCCCTTGATGGAAGAAGGAAATCCCACCACGAATGGTACATGAGCCCTCCAAGGACTTAGGTAATACCACCCCTTCAACTCCTTCCCTATTACCCTAGGCTGGAATAGGGTCATGAAGATGTGGAGAGGCATGTCCTCCCCAAGTGATACTTCCTTCCACAGGAAGTACGAGCCCACCAACTGGCTCCACCCGTTTGGCAGAACTTGGGTCGACGACAGCATGAAGTTCTTAGCATCGCCCTAAAGAAGGGGTGCAAAGGAAGACGCATACCTGCCTTAAACAGGTATTCACTCACTACCACACAGCCCGGCCTCGAATAACAGGCCCACTTATGGGCTTCGAGAACTAACATTTCCACATAGTGAGGCACACAGTACCTCTCCCTAATCTCCCCCAGCCTCTTCCCTGTCATATTTGAAGGCACCCTAGACGGCCCTCACTCTTCGCTATAGTCTACTGGCTCCTCAGCCATAGCATACCTATCCATCTCGAAATCCCCCCTATGACTAACCTCATGGCCCAAGGACGCTACAGTGACCAACTCCCTGCCCAAAGTGGACTCCATCTCAGAAATGACTAAGAACGCAGTAAAAGGAGAATTTTCTGTGAAAAATACCTACTGGAAACTACGCAAACAGAATGTGCCGAAAAAGCAGTGAACGGACAACCTCAACGCCGGACTGTTTAAGTTCTAAGAGAAGAAATCAGATTGCAAGTGCTGGAAAATCCAGAAAAGGGGAGTTCTCTCGCCTTTTATAAAGGGTCAGGACGAACCCCCACCGTCAGATCGAAGCTCATTCAATCTAAACCCTTCATTTTAAATCAAGTCCGAGCCGTAGAATTCAAACGGTTTTTCAAACCTACACCTCTGATTTAAGCGTGTCTCCCATGAACCTTAGCTAACGCGTCTGCTTCTAGAAGCTCCAGCTGTTCTAATAATTACGATTTTAATTCGGTGGCAGCAGACGCCTTGGAAGTTGCAACGGTTCAGCCACCTTTCCTCGAAAACATGAGCAGAACATCAAATCATTGGCACAACTGCCAAGGAACAATTATTGTCAACGAACCTCGGCTTCATCTTCAACATTCAGCCATTAAGCCCCGCAGATTCGGTCTCCCTAACCACCTCGGCTGAATGTTGAGCCATCAAACCTCTCAGGTTCAGTCTCTCCAACCACCTAGGCTTCATCTTCAACATTCAGCCATCAAACCTCGCAAGTTCGGTTACCAACCACCTTGGCTTCATATTCAAAATTCAGCCATCAAGCCTCGCAAGTCCGATCTCCCCAACCACCTCGACTTCATCTTCAACATTCAGCCATCAAACCTCGCAGGTTCGGTTTCCCAACCACCTCGGCTTCACCTTCAACATTCAGCCATCAAATCTCGCAGGTTCGGTTTCCCAACCACCTCGGCTTCACCTTCAACATTCAGCCATCAAGCCTCGTAGGTTCGGTCTTCCCAACCACCT